CGACTTGGAGAGAGAATGAATGAACACTTTTGAACACTTGAACAATTAAATACTGAACAGGACAAATTTAATAGGAAATGCTGACCAGGAAATACTGAACAGAAATAATAAGGCACACCACAGGAAGACCAAACACAACAGTTAGGCAAGTCCAAGATATATCTGGGTACATGTGACAGGATGAACAACCCAGCGGGTTTTCTTCCTATTGAGGAGTGTTGTACATGCTGCTATAGCGGTGTGTCCACTCACAGGATGAGTGGCGCTGGCCAATACTGTCACTATGGCGGTGTGTCCACTCACAGGATGAGTGGCGCTGGCCAATACTGTCACTATGGCGGTGTGTCCACTCACAGGATGAGTGGCGCTGGCCAATACTGTCACTATGGCGGTGTGTCCACTCACAGGATGAGTGGCGCTGGCCAATACTGTCACTATGGCGGTGTGTCCACTCACAGGATGAGTGGCGCTGGCCAATACTGTCACTATGGCGGTGTGTCCACTCACAGGATGAGTGGCGCTGGCCAATACTGTCACTATGGCGGTGTGTCCACTCACAGGATGAGTGGCGCTGGCCAATACTGTCACTATGGCGGTGTGTCCACTCACAGGATGAGTGGCGCTGGCCAATACTGTCACTATGGCGGTGTGTCCACTCACAGGATGAGTGGCGCTGGCCAATACTGTCACTATGGCGGTGTGTCCACTCACAGGATGAGTGGCGCTGGCCAATACTGTCACTATGGCGGTGTGTCCACTCACAGGATGAGTGGCGCTGCCCAATACTGTCACTATGGAGGTGTGTTCACTCACAGGATGAGTGGTGCTGCCCAATACTGTCACTATGGCGGTGTGTCCACTCACAGGATGAGTGGCGCTGGCCAATACTGTCACTATGGCGGTGTATCCACTCACAGGATGGGTGACGCTGCCCAATACTGTCACTATGGTGGAGTGTTCACTCACAGGATGAGTGGCGCTGCCCAATACTGTTACTATGGCGGTGTGTCCACTCACAGGATGAGTGGCGCTGCCCAATACTGTCACTATGGCGGTGTGTCCACTCACAGGATGAGTGGCGCAGGCCAATACTGTCACTATGGCGGTGTATCCACTCACAGGATGAGTGACGCTGCCCAATACTGTCACTATGGTGGAGTGTTCACTCACAGGATGAGTGGCGCTGCCCAATACTGTCACTATGGCGGTGTGTCCACTCACAGGATGAGTGGCGCTGCCCAATACTGTCACTATAGCGGTGTGTCCACTCACAGGATGAGTGGCGCTGCCCAATACTGTCACTATGGCGGTGTGTCCACTCACAGGATGAGTGGCGCTGCCCAATACTGTCACTGTGGCGGTGTGTCCACTCACAGGATGAGTGGCGCTGTCCAATACTGTCACTATGGCGGTGTGTCCACTCACAGGATGAGTGACGTTGCCCAATACTGTCACTATGGCGGTGTGTCACCGTGTGACCCCTTTTGACCTCGTGTGATCCTGCTTGTCGTTTGACCCCGTGTGAGGAGGATGAGTAAGCCGAGTTGGTCGAGGAAAGATGAGTAAGCAGAGGGACAGTAAGGGGTGAGGGACAGTGAGGGCTGAGTGAGAGCTGAGTGACAGTGAGGGCTGAGTGACAGTGAGGGCTGAGTGAGAGCTGAGTGACAGTGAGGGCTGAGTGACAGTGAGGGCTGAGTGACAGTGAGGGCTGAGTGACAGTGAGAGCTGAGTGACAGTGAGGGCTGAGTGACAGTGAGGGCTGAGTGACAGTGAGGGCTGAGTGACAGTGAGAGCTGAGTGACAGTGAGGGCTGAGTGACAGTGAGGGCTGAGTGATAGTGAGAGCTGAGTGACAGTGAGGGCTGAGTGACAGTGAGAGCTGAGTGACAGTGAGGGCTGAGTGACAGTGAGAGCTGAGTGACAGTGAGAGCTGAGTGACAGTGAGGGCTGAGTGACAGTGAGGGCTGAGTGACAGTGAGAGCTGAGTGACAGTGAGAGCTGAGTGACAGTGAGGGCTGAGTGACAGTGAGAGCTGAGTGACAGTGAGAGCTGAGTGACAGTGAGGGCTGAGTGACAGTAAGGGCTGAGTGACAGTGAGGGCTGAGTGACAGTGAGGGCTGAGTGACAGTGAGGGCTGAGTGACAGTGAGGGCTGAGTGACAGTGAGAGCTGAGTGACAGTGAGAGCTGAGTGACAGTGAGGGCTGAGTGACAGTGAGAGCTGAGTGACAGTGAGAGCTGAGTGACAGTGAGGGCTGAGTGACAGTGAGGGCTGAGTGACAGTGAGGGCTGAGTGACAGTGAGAGCTGAGTGACAGTGAGAGCTGAGTGACAGTGAGAGCTGAGTGACAGTGAGAGCTGAGTGACAGTGAGAGCTGAGTGACAGTGAGAGCTGAGTGACAGTGAGAGCTGAGTGACAGTGAGAGCTGAGTGACAGTGAGGGCTGAGTGACAGTGAGGGCTGAGTGACAGTGAGGGCTGAGTGACAGTGAGGGCTGAGTGACAGTGAGGGCTGAGTGACAGTGAGGGCTGAGTGACAGTGAGGGCTGAGTGACAGTGAGGGCTGAGTGACAGTGAGGGCTGAGTATAGAGTGCCGAGTGACCTGGTAAGAGGTCCCGTCCCGTCCCAACACATTGACAGTGTACCAAGTCTATGTTCACAACTGCCCTGGATTGCTTTTTGGGTTTAGTTAGTATGTTTATTTCAATTACTAAATAATAAATAAAACTAAAATCACACATTAATTCTCCCTCTTTCATTTTCCAGTAAATTCTCTATCAATAAACAATATATAATTAAATTCCCTAAACCTCTTAGATAAACTAAATCTAAATTTATGTAAACAAAATGGTTAGCAAGAACGGTACCGGGCGTTACAGGGAACGGTGTACCGGGCGTTACAGAGAACGGTGTACCGGGCGTTACAGAGAACGGTGTACCGGTTGTTACAACAAAATAATTTACACTTGGAAAACATCAGAGGGACTGGTTGCAGATCTGCACATAGAAATAACACCCCCATGATCCCAGCAGGTATGGCAGGATGTGCAAAACCACCACGTTGATAAACAGAGGCCCAATAGGTACGCTGAGAGAGAACTCCAACAACAAAGGCCAAATAATGTTTAATACTTTTGCTCTAAACATATACCTAGTGAAGTGACAACAGATCATTCACACATACATCTACTAGTTACTGTACTAGCTACTGTGCTAGCTACTGTGGTACAGTGAACTTGAGCATATACTCGTTTCACCGACGGACCTTATAGTATTTACCTAATACATATGTCTATGCCATGTTTCCCAGGTACATGTGTATACCTGGAGTGGATTCTGGGAGTTCTACTACTCTGCAAGCCAGGCTTAAGGTCAGGCTTGGCTTGCGATTTCCTGCCCGAAACGCTTTGCGTAATAGTGGCTTTAGGCATTGTATGTACTAGCTCTATCTATAAAGCCAACAAACTTTGTAAAATCTCTTTATGTATGTACCTTTGCCTAAATAAAAATTATTATTATTATTATTATTATTACTTGATTTAGGTGGTGGTCTGCTTTAAGCGGCCTGCAGGCCTCCGTAATTGCCAACTGGTTGCTCTGGCACGTCCTGAAGGAACTTGTCTATTGGTTCTCCACTTTTGTTCCGACAATATTGCCTATGTTTACAGGGAGGCTGTCACACAGCTGGGGACCTCTCATGTTCAGACAGTGTTCTCTGAATGTGCCTATGGCACAAAATAGATTCCTTATCGAGTCTATTTTGTATTTCCTATTACATCGTTCGCTCCTGTTTGTTGTTATTTTGCTGTGCAAATTTGGCATCTGGCCTTTCAGTATCTTCCATGTATATATAATGATATTTCTCTCGTCTCCTTGCTACTTAGTACAGTTTGAGAGGTCTGAGATGATCCCAATAATTTAGAAGCTTTATCGGGTGAGAGTATACCCTGCATGTTCTCTGTATTCCCTCTGTTTCAAAAATTTCTCGTGGTCTGAAAGGCAAGTGAATATCGAGCAGTGTTCAAGGCGGGATAGCACAAGTGGTTAGAATAGCAGCAACATTGTGGTTGTGGACAATTTTCACTGAAGATATGATATAACATGTCAGAGTTATAGTACGTGGTCTATGAGAGAGCACACGGACCTGGCATAACTAGTTGTAGACCCAAGCCAAGCCCTCCCTGAGCATTGTGGGTTTGGTCAGCAGAAGTTAACCATTTTGAGATCCACCTCCCCAAGGGTAGAGTATGTAATGGGTTCCATACCAGGATATGTAATTAAATACAATAGCTATATCATAATTCTCCAAAACGAATAAATATAATCAATAAATTAGTTGAACCAAATACTTTTCATAAATGGAAATATAAAATCGATTTTTAAACCACATGGGTAACTATACCCGCCCTGGTGTGGATCCGAATAGTGTGCGGACGCTGCCACCAGACCAGTCACAACAAAGCCACTCCAGATGCGCACCTCGGGTGTACACGCTGTATTAACACCTATTTTACATTCCGTGGACCTTTGAGTGTGTTTAATAAAACTATAAAAACACCGCTTTCAAGTGATGTAAGTGTGTGTGTGTAAAATTTTATAAACAAGGTGTGACCACGATAGCCACAGCGGCTGGGGCTCGCAGGCGCCACAGCGGCTGGGGCTCGCAGGCGCCACAGCGGCTGGGGCTCGCAGGCGCCACAGCGGCTGGGGCTCGCAGGCGCCACAGCGGCTGGGGCTCGCAGGCGCCACAGCGGCTGGGGCTCGCAGGCGCCACAGCGGCTGGGGCTCGCAGGCGCCACAGCGGCTGGGGCTCGCAGGCGCCACAGCGGCTGGGGCTCGCAGGCGCCACAGCGGCTGGGGCTCGCAGGCGCCACAGCGGCTGGGGCTCGCAGGCGCCACAGCGGCTGGGGCTCGCAGGCGCCACAGCGGCTGGGGCTCGCAGGCGCCACAGCGGCTGGGGCTCGCAGGCGCCACAGCGGCTGGGGCTCGCAGGCGCCACAGCGGATGGGGCTCGCAGGCGCCACAGCGGATGGGGCTCGCAGGCGCCACAGCGGATGGGGCTCGCAGGCGCCACAGCGGATGGGGCTCGCAGGCGCCACAGCGGATGGGGCTCGCAGGCGCCACAGCGGATGGGGCTCGCAGGCGCCACAGCGGATGGGGCTCGCAGGCGCCACAGCGGATGGGGCTCGCAGGCGCCACAGCGGATGGGGCTCGCAGGCGCCACAGCGGATGGGGCTCGCAGGCGCCACAGCGGATGGGGCTCGCAGGCGCCACAGCGGATGGGGCTCTCAGGCGCCACAGCGGATGGGGCTCTCAGGCGCCACAGCGGATGGGGCTCTCAGGCGCCACAGCGGATGGGGCTCTCAGGCGCCACAGCGGATGGGGCTCTCAGGCGCCACAGCGGATGGGGCTCTCAGGCGCAACAGCGGATGGGGCTCGCAGGCGCCACAGCGGATGGGGCTCGCAGGCGCCACAGCGGATGGGGCTCGCAGGCGCCACAGCGGATGGGGCTCGCAGGCGCCACAGCGGATGGGGCTCGCAGGCGCCACAGCGGATGGGGCTCGCAGGCGCCACAGCGGATGGGGCTCGCAGGCGCCACAGCGGATGGGGCTCGCAGGCGCCACAGCGGATGGGGCTCGCAGGCGCCACAGCGGATGGGGCTCGCAGGCGCCACAGCGGATGGGGCTCGCAGGCGCCACAGCGGATGGGGCTCGCAGGCGCCACAGCGGATGGGGCTCGCAGGCGCCACAGCGGATGGGGCTCGCAGGCGCCACAGCGGATGGGGCTCGCAGGCGCCACAGCGGATGGGGCTCGCAGGCGCCACAGCGGATGGGGCTCGCAGGCGCCACAGCGGATGGGGCTCGCAGGCGCCACAGCGGATGGGGCTCGCAGGCGCCACAGCGGATGGGGCTCGCAGGCGCCACAGCGGATGGGGCTCGCAGGGTCCACAGCGGATGGGGCTCGCAGGCGCCACAGCGGCTGGGGCTCGCAGGCGCCACAGCGGCTGGGGCTCGCAGGCGCCACAGCGGCTGGGGCTCGCAGGCGCCACAGCGGCTGGGGCTCGCAGGCGCCACAGCGGCTGGGGCTCGCAGGCGCCACAGCGGCTGGGGCTCGCAGGCGCCACAGCGGCTGGGGCTCTCAGGCGCCACAGCGGCTGGGGCTCTCAGGCGCCACAGCGGCTGGGGCTCCCAGGCGCCACAGCGGCTGGGGCTCCCAGGCGCCACAGCGGCTGGGGCTCCCAGGCGCCACAGCGGCTGGGGCTCCCAGGCGCCACAGCGGCTGGGGCTCCCAGGCGCCACAGCGGCTGGGGCTCCCAGGCGCCACAGCGGCTGGGGCTCCCAGGCGCCACAGCGGCTGGGGCTCCCAGGCGCCACAGCGGCTGGGGCGCTACTACAACAACAGTAGCCACCACCACTACAACAAGAGTAGCCACCACCACTACAACAAGAGTAGCCACCACCACTACAACAACAATAGCCACCACCACTACAACAACAGTACCCACCACCGCTACAACAACAGTAGCGACCACCGCTACAACAACAGTAGCGACCACCGCTACAACTACAGTAGCGACCACCGCTACAACTACAGTAGCGACCACCGCTACAACTACAGTAGCGACCACCGCTACAACTACAGTAGCGACCACCGCTACAACAACAGTAGCGACCACCGCTACAACAACAGTAGCGAGCACCGCTACAACAACAGTAGCGAGCACCGCTACAACAACAGTAGCGACCACCGCTGCAACAAGAGTAGCCACCACCACTACAACAACAGTAGCCACCACCACCGCTACAACAACAGTAGCCACCACCACTACAACAACAGTAGCCACCACCACCACTACAACAACAGTAGCCACCACCACCACTACAACAAGAGTAGCCACCACCACTACAACAACAGTACCCACCACCACTACAACAACAGTAGCCACCACCACTACATCAACAGTAGCCACCACCACTACAACAACAGTAGTCACCACAGCTACAACAACAGTAGCGACCACCGCTACAACAACAGTAGCCACCACCACCACTACAACAACAATAGCCACCACCACTACAACAACAATAGCCACCACCACAACAACAACAGTAGCCACCACCACTACAATAACAGTAGCCACCACCACTACAACAACAGTAGCCACCACCACTACAACAACAGTAGCCACCACCACCACTACAACAACAATAGCCACCACCACTACAACAACAATAGCCACCACCACAACAACAACAGTAGCCACCACCACAACAACAACAGTAGCCACCACCACTACAACAACAATAGCCACCACCATTACAACAACAATAGCCACCACCACAACAACAACAGTAGCCACCACCACCACAACAACAGTAGCCACCACCACAACAACAACAGTAGCCACCACCACAACAACAACAGTAGCCACCACCACTACAACAACAGTAGTGACCACCACAACAACAGTAGCGACCACCACTACAACAACAGTAGCCACCACCACTACAACAACTGTAGCCACCACCACTACAACAACAGTAGCCACCACCACAACAACAACAGTAGCCACCACCACAACAACAACAGTAGCCACCACCACCACAACAACAACAGCAGCCACCACCACTCCAACAACAGTAGCCTCTACCACTACAACAACAATAGCCACCACCACTACAACAACAGTAGCTACCACCTCTACCAGACTCGGGTCCACCAAGAGGGCCAGGTCTTGACACAATAAACTCACCGCTCCATACCTATTATTTCATTACAAAATAAAGGAGGTTGGTGGTGGTTATTAAAAATTTGGATCCAATTTCTTTATTATATTTGCAATATAACCCCATTATATTGCAGATGTGGTTACTACCACGGGCATACGACCCCACCTCAGTAAGTAAATTACTAACCAGCCAAATAAATATAACTAGGTTAACAAATATTTAAATAAATGTGAAATATATTAATATTGCTTGAAGATAAAATAAAGTATACATTTTCCAATAGATAAATTCACAATAATAAAGAATGAAATAAGCAATCTTGGCATTGTTTATTCTATAATTTATGGGTGAGAGTTGATGAAATGTGTCACGCTGACGCAGTAGTAAAACTCTACCATAACTATGTGTTTCCCAACACACATACCTTTATGAGGGAACAGGATCCTATTAATAAGATAGTCCATAGCTATTTCCTCCGAGACATAATCACCCTCTATAATTTATGTGTGATTCACGATTCAAAAGACCATTAGCCAGGAAAGCCAGCCCATCCTCCGTCCTTCCGAACGTCAAGAAAATGGTCAATTTAAAGTGTCCTCTCCTACCCTACCAGAGGACCCAAAACAGAAAACGGGACAGACGGTATGTCACTTTCGCGAGCCGCTTCTATTTTCTAGTACGGCAATTTCTGGCCTTATGTAACGCACACGAGCGAAAAGCGACGTTCTTTGTAGGAGGAGAGGATGGGTAAGCAGGGGACGGAAGACTGGGGGGGGGGAGGACGCAGAAGACTGGAGCAGGGAACAGGATAAGAGTCGGAGGGGGGAGATACAGCGTGGTGGCCCAATCACTACGGGTGTGAACGTGGTAGTGGAACTGCCTAGTGGTCTCTGGTGTCCATTAGCCTCCACAGGGGCTCTGGGTTTCGAACCCCCGGGTGGAGGCGAGTTGTTGAGCGTCAAGCTTGAGTCTTCATTCATCAAGTGGAGGCCACTTGTGCGTGTTCTACAGGAGCTGTGGGTGGTGCCGGGGGCGGCTGTGGGTGGTGCCGGGGGCGGCTGTGGGTGGTGCCGGGGGCGGCTGTGGGTGGTGCCGGGGCGGCTGTGGGTGGTGCCGGGGGCGGCTGTGGGTGGTTCCGGGGGCGGGTGTGGGTGGTTCCGGGGGCGGGTGTGGGTGGTGCCGGGGGCGGGTGTGGGTGGTGCCGGGGCGGGTGTGGGTGGTGCCGGGGGCGGGTGTGGGTGGTGCCGGGGGCGGGTGTGGGTGGTGCCGGGGCGGCTGTGGGTGTGGGTGGTGCCGGGGGGCGGCTGTGGGTGTGGGTGGTGCCGGGGGGCGGCTGTGAGTGTGGATGCTGGGGCGGCTGTGGGTGTGGATGCTGGAGCGGCTGTGGGTGTGGATGCTGGGCGGCCACCACTGCATTACGAGCGTTTATCCATAGTGAAGCCATTGGCGGCATGTAGGGTGTTGAGGGTGCTCACACACGGGCGGTCATTGGACCCTGCCCTCAGTTGGGCAAGGCGCACGAGGGCAGGGAAGAGGTGTGGTCGAGGCTCGTGCGGCATATAAGTAACATTGGGTGGGTAGACTGCATTTTCTTGGTCAGAAAACCTTTGACACAGCACTTCACAAAACACTGTTACAAAAGTTGGAGCAACAGGCAGGAGTAAAAGGTGAGGTGCTCCAGTCCAAAAGGGAGTATCTAAGCAACAGTCATGAGTCATGGGTTCGTATCCTGGCCGGGAGGGATTTACTGGGCGCAAATCCTTAACTGTAGCCTCTGTTTAACTCAACAGTAAAATGAGTACTTGGTTGTAACGATGATTCTTCGCGGCAGGGGGTCGTATTCCAGGGACCTGCCCGACACGCTACGCGTACTAGTGGCTCTACAAGAATGTCATTGTTTTTTTTTTGAGATATGTACAAAAGGAAACAGTGAGTAACTGTGAGGGGGGGGGGAGGCATCAGAGTGGCTAGATGTCACCAGCGGGGTTCCACAGGGCTCTGTAATTGGATCCATCCTGTTTCTAATATATGTAAACCACCTTCCGGAGGGTATAGACTCATTCCTCTCAATGTTTGCTGATGATGCAAAAATTATGAGAATAATCAAGACAGATGAAGATAGAGAGAGACTACAGGACGACCTGGACAAACTAGTGGAATGATCTAGAAAATGGCTACTAAAGTTCAACTCAGGAAAGTGTAAAGTAATGAAATTAGGCGAAGGGAGCAGAAGGCTGAACACAAGGTACCATCTGGGAGGTGAAATCCTGCAAGAGTCAAATAGAGAGAAAGATCTGGGGGGTTGATATCACACCGAATCTGTCCCCAGAGACCCACATCAAAAGGATATCATCAGCAGCACATGCTAGACTGGCCAACATAAGAACTGCCTTTAGAAACTTATGTCTTATGTAAGGAATCGTTCAGGACCTTGTGTACTACTTATGTAAGACCAATCCTGGAGTATGCAGCTCCAGCCTGGAGTCCATACCTAATTAAACACAAGGCAAAGTTAGAGAAGATTCAAAGGTATGCCACCAGACTAGTCCCGGAACAGAGAGGTATGAGCTACAAGAAAAGGCTAAGAGAGCTGAACCTCACATCCCTGGAAATCAGAAGAGTAAGGGGAGACATAATAACCACCAACAAAATTCTCAGGGGAAATTGACAGGGTGGAAAAAGACAAACTCTTTAGCACGGGTGGGACAGGAACAAGGGGACACAGGTGGAAATTTAGTACCCAGAGGAGCCACAGAGACGTTAGAAAGAATGTTTTCAGTGTCAAAGTAGTTAATAGAATACATTAAGTAGTGATGTGGTGGAGGCTGACTCCATACACAGTTTCAAGTGTAGATATGATAGAGCCCAGTAGGCTCAGGAACCTGTACACCTGTTGATTGACGGTTGAGAGGCGGGACCAAAGAGCCAGAGCTCAAACCCTGCAAGCACAATTTGGCGAGTACAATTAGGCGAGTACACACATCCACACCCACATACATCCACATTCACGCCCACGCCCATCCACACGCACATCTACAGACCAGCACATTCTCCCCAGTGGTCCCAACACCATAAAACTGTTGTACTAAGCTGCCTGAAACCTAACCTACCCGAGGACCCACGAACAGAAAACTGACATTTTTTTTTGCTGGAAAATGTTGTTTGCTGTCCAGCCTGTGGCCTCTTTAGATTTGATGTCCAAAGGAATTGGAAAGGATGGGGGAGGTAGAGGGATGGGGAGATGAAATTCAGGAAGAGGATGCGGGTGTAGAGAGAGAGAGGAGGTTTGAAAGTTCGGTGGCCTGTCCACCATGGGTTGACATATGTGTATGAGTGTGTCGTTTGTTTGCGTATGTGTTATGTTGGGTTGTGAGTACATGTGTTTGTGACCTAGCTGGTGTCCTGAAGCACTAGAGCCGATGGAGTTGGCTGAGGGAGGGTAATCTTAGCAACATCGGGTTAGTTACACTTCTGATAGCACAACAAAGGGTTTTTTAGTTTTATATTTTTTTGTAGTAGTTTTATTTTTTTTTATAATATTATTTATTTATTTTATTTATTCCTCATTTGGTGTAGATCGGGTCCGGGATGGGCCACTCATCTGGGTCGTCTGGCAGGCCGCGTAGTATTTGAGGTGTTGGGAAGGCCTCATCGTGGATGTGTCTGATCACTTTT